TTTAAAAGGCACAAAGATAATGTCTTACACTTATACACTGTGTCCCACTTCAGCCTCATGTACACCACCTCAACACTTATAGAAATTCAAAGTTTTGCAGACCTGCTGCTAAGCTGTGATTGGACAGTTACTGCTATAATAAGTTTAATCACAAAGAAAAGCCCTGACCAGCTCTATACCCTCACTAGGGTGTTAGAGGGTTCATGGGAGTTTGTCCAACCAGTCTACATGTGTTTTTTGGAACTGGAGAAAGCATTCCACCGTATCCCTCGTGGCATCCTGTGGGAGGTACTTTGGGGCTATGGGGTGTGGGGCTCGTTGTTACGGGCTGTCCGTTCCCTGTATGAGCAGAGTAGGAGCTTGGTTCGCATTGCCGGCAGTAAGTCAGACCTGTTTCCAGTGCATGTTGAACTCCACCAAGACTGCCCTTTGTCACAGATTCTGTTCATTATTTTTATGGACAGAATTTCTAGGCACAGCCAGGGAATGGAGGGTGTCTGTTTTGGTGGCTGCAGAATCTCATCTCTGCTTTTGCGGATGATGTGGTTCTGTTGTCTTTATCAGTTCAAGACCTACAGCATGCACTGGAGGGGTTTGCAGCAGAGTGTGAAACGGTGGGGATGAGAATTAGCACCTCCAAATCCACGGCCATAGTTCTCAATCGGAAAAAGCTGGATGGCTCTCTCTGGCGAGTTGCTCCCTCAAGTGGAATTTAAGTAGGGATGCACCGAAATGAAAATTCTTGGCCGAAACCGAAAACCGAAAAAGAGGAAACCAAGGCTGAAAACCGAAACACCGAAAGAAATTATGCCAATTATTAGTACCACCGTTGCATTTATGGCTATGACTGTGTACCAACTTTACTAAAATCAAGGCATTGCAATTGCATAAATTAATAAAGTTTCAAAGAATAAATCAATTACAAATTATGCAAATATTTATTTAGCACATTGCAACAATGCACAGTATAAAATATGCAGACATCTGAGCTCCATATGTCTGTCGTGAAACTGATTGCTGAAATATCTGCAGCTATATGCTCATGGACGTGAGTTGCAACAACATTAAACAGCTCAGGTAAACACACTAAGAAATGTTGTCTGCTCGGCATGACATAACAGGGCTCAATGTGCTCGATCACCCTATGAAATCCCACATCTTCTACGACAGAGAATGGCTGATCATCTAAGGCAATGAATTCCATAATCTTTTGTGTAATGCCATTTGCCTTGACACCATCACTGGGAAACTTCCTTGCCTTTTCAAAAACGTCCGCCACAGACGGAGTGGGCGTGCTCGGAGGCGTTTTCCTTTTCTGTGCCGTGTTCCTCTCATATTCAGCGTAGCGCTCGGAATGTTTGGATTTCAAGTGATAAATTAAACCCGACGTGGAGAAAGTCTTTGCAGATGCACCCCCTATTGAAATTTCGCCATTACATGTTTTGCAAATCGCTGTCCGTGGGTCTTTCTCAGATATACTGAAATAAGTCCACACCGCAGACATGTTGCTTCAGACAAGCACGTGCAGGTCGCGGTTTGTTTGCATCATCACAACGTTTCAGCCGTATTGTTTCGACGATAAAAGCATTTTGGCCGAAAACCAAAAATGTACTTTTGGGCCATGTTCGGCCAAAACCTTTTGGTGGCTGAATATTCGGTGCATCCCTAAGTTTAAATATCTCAGGGTCTTGTTCATGAGTGAGAGAAAAATGGAGCAGCAGGTTGACAGACGGATGGGTGCGGCATCCGCAGTAATGCAGTCTCTGTACCGGTCCATTGTGGTGAAGAAGGAGCTGAGATGTAAGACAAAGCTCTCAATTTACCGGTCGATCTATGTTCCTACCCTCACCTATGGCCACGAACTTTGGATCATGACCGAAAGAATGAGATCACGGATACAAGCAGCAAAAATGAGTTTCCTCTGGAGAGCAGCTGGGCGCACCATTAGGGATAGTGTGTGGCGCTCAGTCACCCGTGAGGAGCTCAGAGTAGAGCCACTGCTCCTCCACATTGAGCAGAACCAGTTGAGGTGGTTCAGGCACGTGTCTAGGATGCCCCCTGGATGCCTCCCTGGGGAGGTATTCCAGGCATGTCCCTCCGGGAGAAGGCCTCGGGGCAGACCCAGGACACATTGGAGAGACTATGTCTCCTGGCTGGCCTAGGAACGCCTTGAGGAGCTAGAGGGGGTGTGGGGGGAGAAAGAAGTCTGGGAGGCTCAGCTCGAACTACTGCCCCTGCGACCCGGTCTCAGATGAAGTGGATGAAGATGGATGGAGAAAAGCCACTTCTTGATTTGTCAATGTGAAATTAGGGGCTATTACATGTTGATAAAAATGACCTAAAATTATTGTACACACTTTATTAAAAAAAAAAGTCTCTAACTGTGCCTACTTATTACTCATGCTGTGGTATCCTTTGAAAGGTTGCTGGAACTCATCATATGTCACATATGTCACCATTTTGTTGGTGTGCTTTTTAATGTCTAATAGTGTTGTCATGATAAAGGAATTTCTAACTTTGATATGATACCTTGAAAAATATCAATACTATTTGATACCACAAGGAAAAACTGACACCTGATTGAGGGCATAAAATTTTACATTTTATTTTGTCCTGTTCCTCTCTTATGATGCACATTTAGTTGTTTGTGTGTATGCACACAAGGTGTATGTGCCTGCATGTCACATGCATACACCCATGTGCATGTGTTTTGACATATACTGTATGTTTATATATATGTGTATGTGAGCTCCTGTGCTGTGTATGTATGTTCCTAAAACATTCCACATTACATTATTGCCATTCTTGGTTTTAAGTGTGCAGCACTTTGTAGATATATTTTGAAAATCATTTTTTGTACTTTGTCATTTTTTTCACATTAATGAAAACGATATTCTTCTTGAGGTAGTACACATGTGCAAGAGCCTCTGAGATTGTCACACAATGCATGTTAAGCACAACAGCATCTAAATTAATTTAAGTACTGAATCTCTGCTTTCTGAGATTCCTCAGCCCTGATAGCGCTGTGCAGGATTAGCTTAGCTTTGAGAATTACAGTTGGTCCAACAACAGAATAACACACTTAACAGTATACTGGGCCATTATTTTTAGTGCTTCACTCATGCTGAAATGGGAGCCGTCACCAACCTCTTTATAGATGTCGGAGTGTCAGTCGTTCAGGTGCATTGCTGAATTAGTTGTTAGCACCTATCATTAGCTGTGCTAACTTAGTACTGCTCTGTAGCATTGCTAAAGAGCAGTGCCCTTTTCTTTGTCAACCAAAACCTATCATGGGCCTCTGCACTTGTCATCTATAATGAGTCAACGCCATAACAAAACCTGCAATATACCACAGTCTGCTGTTAGCTTACAATTCAGCAGAAGCAAGACAGGTGACAAAACAGACAGCACTGTGAGTGAGTGGAGGGGTGGCGATGGGCACTGCAGTGGGGTGTGTGTGTGTGTGTGTGTGTGTGTGTGTGTGTAAACTTGCTGTCAAATTGAAGAGAGAGCCAGAAAGCGCAGATGGCATCAGTCTATCAATACTACAGGAAATTAATATTTAAACATGTTAAATTTTTCAGAATTGAATGTATCGAAAAATCAATACTATACAATACTACTGTCTAAACTTAATTACTCAAAAAGGTTTTCATTAACTCATGTTCTTCTTAGGAGTCACTGCCAAATACATTTCCATTTTCCTTTAACTTTCTGAGGATCAGTCCAATTTTCCTTTATGTATCATGTTCACCAAAATCATTGGGGTAAGACTGGAAATGGAAGCACCACAGCTTCAACACAAACTTATTCCAACAACTCCAGGAAGAGGCCTTAAAAATGCTGACAGAAAACGTCAGAGACCATCTCTGAGCTCTGATACTCTGACTGGAGGCTTTCAGCACCTTGTCACAACAATCTGTTGAATTTCCACACATTTGGTAAGAGAGCAAGCAAAACTTTCAGCTACATGGCTTCAATAAATACTTCCAAGTAGTTTCACACAACTTGTTTCCAGCAGAGTTATGAATGAGAACTCCATTTTGTCCATTCCTTCTCATTATCCTCCACTGGGCACTGTGAAAATACCCTGGCAACTTGCTAATCAACGTCTATGTCAATGCCAGGATTGTTTACTGAAGAATGGAATCTCCTACAGGAACGTCACGGCATCCTCTGAGGCCTGCAACCGTGCACCGAGCTTGGAGCGAGATGCTTTTTCACACTATGAATGGAGTGTGCAGCTATATGTATGTGTGAAACAAGGCCTGAGGACAGTAGTGTATGCATTATGCATAGTCAATGAACATGCGGTAAGGAATGACAATAGATTCTCAGCCCTGCACAATGCGTCAGTATCTAAGGCTGAGGTCAGAGGTCATGTCTGGCTTTGTGCATGGCTGCCAAGGACGGAGACAAACAAGGAGACCATTGAGAATGCAGGAGGTTTCATGTACATAACAAGGAAACAAAAGGAAGCAGTTGGTTGCATAACAGGAGAGAGGACAGTCAGTCTGTACACAATTTGGAAGTTTGTCTGATTTAAATGCACAATGCTGAATTACTGTCTCAAAATACATAGCTCGCCCTGTCTACAGGGAGTGTTTTCATATACTTATTAATCTTTGAGGTATTCGTTTGGATAAACCAATACGCCTTTGTTTCCTTTCTAATGTAAATGACTGTATACATCAAGCTACTGATTTAATAAGATCTGAGAACATACCAAACTGAGATGCAGCTTTATAAAGAGTGTTTGTGAGGTCATTTAAAACATATGTAACCCCATATTCGCTGAAAAAACATGATCTTTGAGTATATCAAAGTTTTATAACTACCTGAACAGTATGACTAATAATTAAATGATAATCTTGTTGATAAAAGCTGACAGCAGATTGTTTAAAAGTAAAAACTCCTCACATCTGACACAGCAGCTAAAGGGCAAAAGGTGCAGATCAATGCAAAATATCATAAGAATAAGTTCTTTCGCAGTTACTTACAGTCCGCTTGCTTCTCTTCTACTCTTACTAGGGCCGTTCTATCATATATACACACACGCACAGAGAGAGAGAGAGAGAGAGAGAGAGACCGTCAGAAAACCAAGTGGCTTGAGCTTCAGTGATGATTTCGACCACATCAGTATCAGTATTTAAATCCAAAAGAGTGAAAGGAACACACTTCTGAGCATTTAAAAAGCAATAAAAGACAGCTGCATATGCAAAAAGACAGAGTCTCTTACTGTCTTTTTCACTACTCAAACTAACTCGTGTACTGTTGCTGCCTCTTCTTTTATCATTTATTAGCTTTACTTGTCCTTTAGTAGAAAATCTAAGCACGGACTCAAATGCAGCAGCTTAACTTATTTAACAAATGTGTTGCAGCTTCCCAACAATTGCATCAGCCATAAGCAACTACAGCTAGTTGTTCCCTCAGGTTATTAGGATCTGGCTAATCCTAAAACTACACAGTGTGTTATTTCAGCTGCAACTGGCTGTTCAAACCTGTAACAGCAGCATCGGGTTTGCTCATTTGCTTCCATCTAGTACCTTACCTTGATAATGTTACCACAGCCACTGGGAAAATCACTTTAATCTCATAAATTAACATTGGCTGCAGAAAACTAGTCTTTAAATATTCTGGCATTTCAATGCTTTATAAAGGACTAATTCACCCCCTCCTCATCCTAGAAATAGCACCAAGAAATACAAAATGACAACAAAAACAGATCTGATTGACTTAACTGTCATTATTTACTATGCAATAAAATTTTTATTAATTGTGAGTGGTCATGTGTACACCCACCAAACCTCAGCAGGACAGGTGTGTGATACAACAAAAAACTGGAGCCACAATGGAGACTTACAGCTCTGTTTCACTGGCAACATGTTTGACCAATCAGATCACCTTCAGCTGGAGAAAGCTCTTCTGGTTAAAACATCAGTAATTATGTATTTTAATGTCAATTAATCTGCATTTATAGTCAGGTCTGTGTTCACTAAGAAGACTTCCATTAAGAGACTAGATGTAAACAAGCTTGTTGAGAGAAGGCCAAACAGCTCCATCTCATTGCTTCTCTGTTCAAATCTTAACTGGCCTTTAAAATAGATGTAAATTATTTGCTTAAAACAAATGCTGAAGACAGAGTAGAAGAGCTGGTTTAAGGGCAGTAAACACTTGATACAATGGCCTCTGAGAACTGGAGGACACTGCAGCTTCAAAGTACCATCATATTTTTTTCCAGGTGGTAAATATAAATGTTACTGTGCTACATATCTAGTGAAAAACAGGAGATTAGTCAGAGAAAATAATCCTCTGTGTGTCATTTGATGAATAATTTACCCTAATACTGTGTCTATTCTATTCATTTGGCTGTAAAATTGATCCTCAGTGGAAAAAAATCTAACAATGAAAATTAATCATCTGGTTTTAATGTCCTGCCAGCTAAGAAAAGAATATGTATCACAATTACAGGTGCAGCATCAATGTACACGAATCTGTCTTCAAGTAAAAGCCATTATTCTAAAACTGCAGCAAAGAAGTACTCCATAAAAATAAGCAAATCCAAGTCTCCAACCCAAAATTACTTCAACTTGATGTCAACAGACTGACATGAAAACAGACTGTTATAACAACTTATAGCTATATGAGCAAATCCAATGCACAAACCCAGGAGAAACTATTCCCTATATAAGAAATAACACCCCCTATAGACAGGGTGATCTATGTATTTTGAGGCAATATTTAATTCAGCATTGCGCATTTAAATCAGACAAGCTTCTAGGGGGGTGACAGTGGGGCGGTGGGTAGAGAAGTCGTCTCCCAACCAGAAGGTTGAAGGTTTGAATCTCAGTGCCTACAGTCCACATGTCGAAGTGTCCAAGACACTGCACCCCCCAAGTTGTCCGTGATGGCGGCGCGTATGCACGCAGTGGCCCGGGGCCCTCGGCTCCCAACAAAATTTCATTGTACGTGTCACAATGTTACAATGACAATAAAATAAAGCTTCTTCTTCTACTACTAAAGAGTAGAGATTACTCAAAATAACAACATGCTAGCACATTTGCAGATTAATCTTTTTTTTTTGACATACACATTGACAACACAAAACAAGTGGCCTCTACCTGTCCTGAAAATATAACTGTACTGAACTGTGACCCCGACAGCAAAATACAGAACAAACTATGACTCGTCAACTTTTCCACCCTAGTCATGTCGGAGACAGAAATGTAATAGGTTAAGGAGGCGTGCTACTAGAACTCTTTTGTCCTGCTGACCAGGGTAGCAAGGGAGATGCTGCGAACACAGGTAGTCTTGGCCAAAAATACTGCTATCCCTGCATTTCTGTCAGATAACGCACCACTTCTCCCAGAAAACCGTTGCAATCACAAGTTCTTTGGTATTCTCATGTTAATTTATTTTGTTTGCATTGGAACATTGGATCAGTGAGTTTCTTCCTCCTCTCTACTGGAATTTTGGACCACTCTTCTTTTGCCAGCTGCTCCAGGTCTCTCAGATTTGAAGGGTTCCTTCTCCCAGCTGCTGTTCTGAGATCTCTCCACAGGTGATCTATGAGATTTAGATCTAGACTCATTGCTGGCCACTTCAGAACTCTACAGCACATTGTCTGAAATCATTTCTGGTGCTTTGTGAAGTCTGCTTTGGGTCATTGTCCTGCTGTAAGGCCCATGACCTCTGACAGAGACACAACTTTCTGACACTGGGCCCCAGAATCCATTGGTAGTCTTCAGATGTCATAATGCCACACACACAGTCAGGACATCCAGTTGCTGCAGCAGCAAAGCAACCCCAAAACCTCAGTGAACCTCCACTGTGTTTGACTATATTGCCCTGGAGACACTCAGTGGTATAGCAGCACTGTAGCTGTGCAGCTCAGATATGATGTTTGTAACTGGTTGGCCTAGTTAAATGAGGATTAAAGATCTCCCTGCAGATCTGATTAAATCGTAACCTAACACTGGGAATGAGGCATCAGAAGATCACTAAAACTGTGGATCAAATAACATGCGAGGTAGTGGGTAGCTTTCAGAGTCCCTCCTGGGTAGGACCTCATTTAAATTACAGTGGAGAAGCAGTGGAGTCCAAACAGTGGCGCATGTTTCAACGAAGCTGCTAATATTAGGAGATTCTTCAGAAGGTTACAGCATCAACATTAACCTTTCACGGGGCGACACCGTGAATGCGGCATCATCTGGTTCACCAAACGGCACGTGAACACACAATATCTATCAAACTTCAAATAGCCCACTAGTCACAGCAGTTAATGTTAATGTGCTCCCGAGGAAGAAATATAGACTAAATATTACTTAAATGCGGTCGCATACTGCTGTTGCTGTAAGAGGAGCATCGAACTAAACATAGCGTTAAACTGCCCTAGTTTTGAACGCACAATTTCCTCGCCACTGGAGAATTAGCCAATTCGATCCACGCCATGACTAGCCGGGAAGACGTTACTCTCGTTTCTGCCGATGCCCCTTCACACACCCCCGCCACCCCCTCTCACACATAGAATACACACATGCAATTTACACCGTCTGGCCGCCAAACACCAACTATTGCTACATAACGTCAGCCAGTAAAGTAAGAAAGGAGGCAAAGCATAGTTGCATCACGAGCATGTAGCATTAATATGCTAAGCTAAAGTAAAAGTACCTGTATCTTTGTGGTCGAGACTGTGGTTGGTGAGATGAGCTTAGCTTTCGCTGTCTCCGTCTGGCGCTTAGCCGCTTTTAAATTCCCTCCTCATCGCAGCTTATCCCAGCAGACTCAAACACGTCAGGCACAAAGTATTTGACAGTATTTTTTTAAATATGCCTACTCTCCAAGATGAAGGAAGACCCGCGGTTGTGTTCAGTTACGTTAACCCTAAACCTAAACAACAAAAAAGGCTCCCCCGGGACACCGAGGTTGCTGTTCTAAGGAAAAAATAAAGACTTCCAATATAGTCATTCCCTATAGAAACAAAAGTCTTACTAAATTCAATTTGACTCAAGGCACGGAGCGCTTTTCCAGGGTAAAACTTGCCATGAAGCTCTCCTCCCGGTCTAACTCAGAGGAGAGCACACCTCGGAGTGGACACTGGAGCACAGGAGTAGCGCTATCACTGTGCCGCCTTCACGTGCTGTTGGAATTGTGGCACACGAGAGGGTAACGCCAAATTAAGGTGATAAAAAGACAATTCGTTATCATAATGGAGCTGCCACTATGTGGTAGTTTAGGTAGGCTACATGTCTGGCTGTGAATTAAATGGTCAAAACTATAAAAATCTGATGGTAACTTAATTTAACATTTCTTAGATATCCCTGCTGAAGAGCATTTTTCTACCATTCCTGCAGCTGCTGCAATTTAAGCAATCTTAAGAGAATTGCATGTCTAAAAGAAACCAGCAGCCACTAATAGTGTCAGTTTAGTTATTGTCAACTAAAGTCAAGATAATCAAATGGCTTTGTAGTTATGAAATGTCCAAACAACTTTACCTAGTGTCACCTTATGCAAATATACAGTAAATGGCCACTCATTTGAGTGTAGCCAATAAGCGTTTTGACTGGTCTTTCCCTGAATAAATAAAGATTGATGATGAAATTATCTTTATTGTAAATGAAATCACTTATAGAAGCAAATGTAGCTGTTTAATGGAGTACAAACATAAGACGACACTCTTCTTTTGTGGTGAGATGTTCAGCGCAGACATAGTTGCACGATGACTTCTTTAGCCATAATGCCAAAGCAGCTGGTAAAGTTTAGCTCTCCTACCACTTTACAATTGAATTTGACACAAACAAATCACAAGAAAAGTGTCAGTTGACTAAAAGACTGCAGCATTAACATCATTAGCATTGTGAGAGATGTTAGAGCTTAATGACAGATTGAGCAGTGAGGGGATTTTGAGCTGTTTCAGTCAGATGCACACACAGATGTTGTACAAAGGTGATGATGCTCTGAGAGCCATGTGATTGCATTAAGAGCAGGATTCAAGGAGAGAACTGCAACCAGCTCATAAGGCTGTGATATAACAGGTCAATACATTTTGGTCCAATTTCACCTCACACTCACACATCTGTTCCTCGGTGTCAATGATCAACAAACCTCACAATTGTTATCTTTATTATAGTTCCACTGTTGCTGAGGATGTTCATTTTTTTAGACAGCACCAGTAAACATAAGTTCATCTTGGATCATAGTGTTGTTTCATTTGTATTTTGTGGCATTCATGTGGACGGCAAAGTAAGAATTTCATTGTACAGGGAAACACGTTTCCAAACTATGCATATGACAAATAAATACTTTGACCTTGACCTGTTTGAGCAACTTTCTCTGAAATATTGCTCATGCGAAACTGAACAGAGGCTGTATCACACAGAGAATGATGTCAGGCATACATGTACATCTATAACAAAGGGCCTGGAAATGATGAGTCCTAATATTTTGGAATGTGCACTGACCAGTGGCAAGTTATTCATGCAAGATGGTCCCAATTATCCTGTACACAGGAACAGTTCAAAAGATGCCTGGTCATCAGCCACGTGCATGTTATGTTTCATTTTTAGGTAAGTCCTTTAAAGAATATAACCTAATTTTGGGATAAATTACTGGCAGCATATTACTTGTAAAGTGCAGTTAGGTGAGCTAACTAAATGTACAGTAAATGTACAGTGTATTTGCCAGGTGCACGTGGCTTTCTGAGGATAATTTAAAAACAAACCTCATAGTTCCAAAGAGGTAGTAAAGGAAAACTGGAGGAGAAAATTTAGACCTGGTCACCTAATTTCATCTCCTTGCTCCAACTGATGCTCCTCCCACACTGATGATCCCAGGCCTGTTTCAGTTCACTTTTCATACTGCAGGCTTCAGGGACAGACTGCCAGAATTTGGGTTAGACAGAACCAGCCTCAACCAGTAAAGAAATGACTTGAGACCATCAGTCAGTGGTTTCCTGAATCTGCAAGCCATTGGCCATACACTCATTAACTGCACCACAAACATTTTTCAGCAAGACAGTATAGTTTAGGACTTATAATATGCACGTTCTATAGTTCATACACATATAAAGTTTCAGTGAGTCACAAGGCATGATGGCATGAGTCATGCTTTTCATTTCAATAAGCTGCATAATGTGCAAATTGTTGAGGCTATACTTTGGCTACAACTGCCTGTATTACTTAGATCAAATGGATATCTTCCCAAGTTAGTGATGTTTGTACAAATTCCTCTCTCTCTGAATTCCCACAAAGAGTTTCACTGGTGAGCTGTTGTGGAAGATGGGAACAAAAAGAGAAGTTTGTTTTGACAAACTTTTGGAAGATATCCTCTCCATCTGACTTATTTGAAAGGATAAACTTTGGAATACACTTGTGAACAAAACAAGAACTGGATTTTGTCCCCAATCACTTACGCTGACAACATGTTAGGAAGATCTTTTATAAGCAGTAAGGACAGCAGGGATGATTCTGAATTCTGAATGATTAAAGCAAGCCAAACCTGTTGCATTGTTCACAGGGGCACATGACTATTGCTTGAAGGAAGACGTAAACCTATACTTCAGTGGTAATTTAACTTCTGGAAAATGAAAGGCATGTTGTCACTACGTTTGTTCATTTGAGAACAGAAAAGCAACCGTTCCACAGTTGTTGCCTTCGTTTGTCATTACTGTGAAGATCCATGTTAGGATGAAAAGTTTAAAGTAGACTTATACGGGGAAAAGTTTCTTCTTTAGACCAACTTTTCATGCAGTTGAACTGAACGAGTTCATGAATGGCATTTGGTGATCCTGTCTCATAAAAATGGTTGAATATTTTGATTATTTTTGTCTTTTCCTGTACCACTGCAACTGCCCCATCTGTTCAATGTAAGGACTTTCAAATGATGTCCACTGCGACTATGTGCCACAACATAAAATAACCTTTACGTTGTACTCATTCAAGGACAGTTCTCTTTAATGCCAAGGTTGTTTTTTACATAGCAGACATTCTTCCTGGATATTGAGAAAGCACATTCATCATACCATGCCCCAATCATTTTTACTGCATCTATTCACTTCCAGTTTAACATGAAAAACAAGTCATCTGGAAAAGTTTAAACTGCACTTAAAATTAAAGCAGAGGAAGTGCCTTAGGAGTGACAAGCTCCTTCTTTATTTCACAAACAAAATAGCTTTATTTGCACTCATTGCATGGCTGTTATACACACATGGATTTTCTTTAACACCTAAGTTACATATGTACAGTATGGCAGATTTAATAATATGGATAATCACCTTTATTGGCCAAGTATGTTACACACAAGGAATTTCTGGTACAGAACCAAGGCAGCCATCTGCGGCGCCAACTCAACTGATGGCTCTAACCATCGGGGGCAATGGTGGTTCAGTGTCTTGCCCAAGGACACTTCAACACATGGACTGCAGACACTGAGATTCAAACCTTCAACCTTCTGGTTGGGTGACAACTGCTCTACCCATTGCACCACTGTCACCTCCTAATAGCAGGTTATTACTCTGTACAAGAATCCAAACAACTCCTACTTACTTATAATCCATTACCCTTTAAGTAATGCAATTTAACAATAACCTTCACATACACAAATGACTCTAGTTCATGGGTGGCCTGGAACATGTGGTTAATAAATGTGGTCCAATCCTGCCCTCTAGAGACAGCATTTGGTCCATACAGTAAGACAGACTGGGGATTTGCTCTGTGGCCATCAATGTCACATTTACTCAGGACAGTCATTAAGCATTTAAACTTCATAGCCTATATCTAAAACAGTCATTTTTATTTCAACCAACAGAATCTGAAAGTGTTCCCATCACTGCCAGAAAGACTACACATATACATTAGCTCTTCATAGAACCTTCTGGTTGGGTGACATTTCCAGCCATTTAATGTTTAATCTTGGGTACCTCTAGATTAGCTTTGCACCCATCATAACTCCAAATAGTCTGTAATTAGTTCAGCACGGTAAAACCAGACAGCATCTCCCTAAAAAGATAGTTTATGAATGCGCACAACCCCTGTTGCCGGTGCTGAGTCGACAGTGGACGGCACAACGAACCACAACGGCATTAATTCATGTGAATTTCTCCTCCATAGACAGGTAAACAACAGTATATGTACTGATGAAAAGAGATTTGTAAACAAACTATCTCTGATAACTGGGTCTGCTCCAACTCGACTCTGTTCTACCAAGATTGTCTAAGAAAAGAAGACCATTAACAATTCCAGTTCGTCTGTAGCTATATTATCAGCTATAGTTCAAGCAAGGGTTTTTACAAATGTGGAGAAACAAAACAGGCAGGGATTGCTCGTTTCTCGTGTTTTGTGTGTCTCTACATAAACCAGAGACCCATGTGAATGTCAGAAAAAGCTCTAAAAGTGAATTTTGCATAATATGGGTCCTTTAATCAGGAAGAGAAACCTGAACAGCTGGAGACCAGGGAGCAGCAGACAAAAGCTGGAATTTCACTTCAAACTAATTTAATGTCATACAAATAACAGGAAAACATGTGTTGTTCAAATACTCTCTTTTAATGCAAAGTGAAACAGGAATACTGTATAAAATGATTCAAATCAACATTTGACAGGAAGATAAAATATGACTGGGACATAAACAAAAAAGGAGGGCTGCATTTATAATTCGTTTTTCTTTGTGTCGTCTCATTACAAAGTGGATGAGTTTGGCTACTGTATCTCTGTACCAGTACACAACAAGATGTCAAGTAACAAACACATAAATGAACAAACACAAAGTTTTCCAAAATTGCATTGGGTTTCTTGAATGGCAGATTTCAGTGAAATGTTGTAGCAGTGAAGATAACCACCAAAGTAAAGGATGAAGAATTAGGCAAACAAATGGTAAAGAATATGTTCTATACAACTCAGGGATCATATAAACATGATGAGGCTGTTGGGTGGGGTCAGAGAAGGCAGAAGTTAACAAAAGACTGAGCAGTCACATCAAATACACTGCCCTTGTGAGTGACATGCATGGATCATTAAGGCGCATTCTGCATTTGGTTTTAAGTTAAAACTTTTTCAACTCACACAGATGCATCTTTGCAAAAGTTTGTGCCTCCATGGCTGAATTTGTATTTAGTCCTGTATTTCCATTTAATTTGTATGTACATAAAATAAAAACAGTGCCAGATTTCATGAGCCAGTGGCTGCCTTTCACTTGATTCTCCACTTTAACAGAACTACAGCAAAGTTAAATGAACAGTACGGTCTAGTGTCCGGCCACTGGGTGAAATGAAACCATTACAGTGCAGAGGAGCCTTCAGCAGCCACACAGCTCATTCTTCTTCTAAGTCTGTGGCACCGGTAATATCTGTTCATTTGGCAGCTCTTGGTTCAAATTAGCTGCTTTCTGTGTTCTCACTCCTAGTGTGCAGTTTGGGGTATGTAAAAATGGCTATACCATTTTGATGTTAAGCTTGAAATCTGAGTTCAGCTGACAAATTAGGGTGGGTGTGTTTTTAAAATATAAACCTTAAGGTTCAGCCTCCATACCATTTCTTAAAACAAATAAAGTTCTACCAGAGACTGCAGCATAGAGTACATGGCAATGATTTCTACCATTATTGATATAATGTCAACAAAGCAAAACATCTAAATAAAAACATCCTGTTGGCTCTGATCAACACACCTTATGGTGGTGTGTCCAGTATCTCAGCCATTACCTGAGCAGCAGTCTGTTGACAGTGGACACACTGTGAGTACACGACATATTAAAAAATTATGTTGGTGCCATAAAAAGTATGACATATAAAAATATCTAAAACCCTCATGGGTTCCTTTAATGATACACAGTGACAGATTCTGCAAAGTTGTACAGCATAAGCTTGTTAAGCAAAAGGTTGCAGGCTCGGGCAATGTGAGGACAAGCTGAACTCTCAGTTATTCACACCTTCTACTCATTAGTCTGCTCTTGTTTTTTTAAGTGTGGAAATAATATATTTTAGAAAAAGAAACAAACAAAAAAGTAATGAAGCCACATGACGATCTACTCTGTCTGACCAGATATTATGTGAAATACTGTGAATTTTGGAGTACTCAACATGACTGAGTAGCATTTCTTATAATCTCACTTTTTTCATATTAACAATATTTGAAACCAACTTTAGTCTTAACCCAATTTTAATTTCAAGGAAAGTGACTGTAGTGGATACACAGCTGAGCACAGTCTGAATGGGTAGGAGGGTATAGCAGTGCACTGCAGCAACTGTTCTTCAGTACTGCACTGAAATATTCTGGCAATAAGTCCTTTGGGCACGAAGCTAAACTCACCAACAAGGCAGTCAGTCCTAGCAGCTTGCACACCTCCTAACAGACACTGAACACAGGTGTAATACTGTCCAGCATTCGGTCTGAAGTGATGCCAGGCCATAGTAATCTGACTTGTACTCTTCCTCTGAACCCTGGAGTGAGTCCAGTGAGGTTACAGACAGCAGAAAAACAGAATGAGATCATAGTGCAAATAAGAAAACAGGGCTTCACACTATCAGAGACTGTAACAATGAAGGCACTCACAAGCACGACGTCTCAGCAGCAGTGACAACACCAGACGCAGACCCACAGCCAACTGATGCATCAAACTTTGGAAATACTCATAAAAATTGAACTTTGTTAAAAAAAAATAAGTACTCTGTAGTCATGTAAACTATTTATGATGAGATCATTGGAATGTATGAAAATATTTTAAAAGCTGTCTTATATAAATATGTAAATTCATTCCCTCTCATCTAGAGCATTTATAAGGGTTATACAGGTATTTCAATTTATTATCTGCAGTAAGTCATGGTTTTCTTATTAAGAACCCAAAAATAAAAAGTAACCAAATGAGAGGAGGTGATTCTCATGTCACATAGGGAATGGCAACAAAATCCTCTTAAATGAATTAATGTCACATTCTCGTGAGAAGACGTACGGGAATAAGATCTATTTAACCAACTTTTTATGATCCGGCTGCAGTTTGTGCACAATGCTACTGTCCAGCCAAGAAAGTAATTTGAAGGGAATGTTGTTAAATACACCCAGTGCCTGTCCCATCTCTGTCACATACAGTACATTCATATACACATCAAGAAATTAGTCAAATACTTTTTGCAAATATTTAAGTGCATCTAAAGGGTGAGCCACTGGATATATGTATAAAAATGTCAAATTAAGTAAATCGCTTAGTCTATTTAATTTTGTGCAGTTTTTTTAATGACAGAAATTAGCTGAGTCTTAATGTGGTCAAGTCCACCCAGTTGGTACTTCAAGGTGGTTAAAACAAACACTCAGAATTACTGGCAGCCACAGTCGGAGCCTGGTCTGACTGTTTGTTCCCTTGACAAACGCATTTTATCACATTTCAAAGCCTCTCACTCACTCGTACACACTCTCACATTCTGACAAACACTGCAGCTCTCTCTCTCTCTCTCTCTCTTTCTCGATGAAAACAAATGATATACACATTCAGACTTCACCGACAACTTCTGCACCACATTTGCTCCGACACTCACTACTGGGCTTTAGCTTTCGTGGTCTTCATTGCTCTGGCACCCGGATTTATCTGGATTGGAAGAGCCTTCAAAACGCTGCGAGGCGATGACTGAATGGTGAGACGTACTTTTTCTCACTACGTCGCCTTTCCTCCACAGAGTGATCTCCTGCAACAACACAACACTAATGATACACAAATCATATAAAGAAATGTGGTTTCTCACATCTACCCTGCTATGAATTGTTACTAGAGGTCAGCAGGTGGCTTTATAAATAAACAAACTTTCTAATGAACAGAGAAACTACTTTAAAGTAATCAGACTCATGAGCCATTAAATTAAATCACTTTCTAGTCTCAAGATTTTGTTTCAGTGACAGTAAGTTTATGTAAAATGTAGCTGTAGACAATCTTACAACTGTCACCTGAATGACATTTTTTAGATATTTTACCCATTTCTGATCATGATAATTGAATGAATGCCTGGCTTTCCTGGTGAACAGTATACATCCAGTCAGAAAGCTGCTGGCTTGTTCCCCTAGCAACTAATGATGACTTTCATTTCATTTCATTTCTGTTGCTTCAGTGCTTTCTTGTTGAGAACTAGATGAGAAGATCAATGCCACTCTGCAGTTTATACAATAAATATGAATCTACAGACAGCAGCTGGCTAACTTTGCTTTAGCACAGGGCCTGAAACAAGGGGAATCAGCCAGGTTTGGACCAGTAGCTTCCTGAACTCCCAACCAAGAAGCAATCCACCTCATAATCCCATGTGAATTGGCAACTTGGCCATTTTACACTTCAGTTTTTGGATAGGTTAAATAAATAAGATATAACATGATAATTAGTGAGTTTTAGAAGTGATGGCAGGAAGATTTTGTTTCCACTGGACAGAGCCAGGTTAGCTGTTTCCTGTCTTTGTGCAAAACTAAGCTAACTGGCTTAGTTAGCTTAAAAGCTGGCAAGTAAACAAAAGTATTTTACATGAATTTACAATGATACTGGAAAAGCTGGAACCACTGAATATTTGGCACTTGTAGTTGAAAAATGTCTGAAACAATTTATTGATTATCAAAGTATTTACCAATTCATTTTCTGTCAGGCAAGTAATCAACTAAATTAATGGCTGCAGCTCTAGTTGGAACTGTAGGTATGTACCAAATTTTAGGTAGAGGATAGATCACAACAAAACTGATGAGAAATATAATTTTAAAATAATTGTAATTGAAAAAACAATATTCAACCGATTAAAGGGGTGCGCCAGCAAGTTAGGGGATTTAAAAACAGAAAGGTCAAAACTGAAGCAGCAGACACCAGAAAGCTTCATCCAAAGCCACGAAGCACAATTCCAAATAGCTTAGCATCCAGAAAAGCAAAGCAAATGAACCACCAGTCTGTGTGTAGGTTAAAGGAAATAGTACAAATAGCTTCCAAGCAAACATGAAGCCATAATACAGCATGCATACCTGCTGTTTGAAATAGCGTCTTTCCTCCTCATCAACGAGGACCAGGTTGAGGTAGTACCGCACAGAGAACTTCTTGTTAACGTCCCTCATGGTGGGCGTCATCTCATAGCCTGCTAGAAACAGCCTGATGGGAATGGACTCCCCTCCACAAATAGTCAGAAACATGTTTAGTATGCAACAAATGAACCTGACAACAAAAGCACAGCTCATTACCTGCTACAGGCTGTAAAACCCATTATCATTACCTCGGACTGGGGCACCGTCCATGATTTCATACTTCGCTATGGTGTCGTTCTCATGGTAGACGCTGGGGCCTGTGCCAGTTGTCTCTCGCCTGATGATGTCAAGCTCCATATGTTTGATCTTAATCCTCACCAGCAGAAAGTAAATCTTTCCTACGATCACATCTTTTAGGTGATACCTGCAAACAAATGGTGGCATCACCTGTCAAAACCAAACACTCCTTTTCTCACTCAGGTGCAATTCTGATCTGATTCTGGTCACACTTATAAATGTAAGTCATTTTAGTGGATTATTGTACAAACAAGTCGTACTTTGATTTATTGTACTCAAACTCTATGTGTAGACAGTCCTCAATCCCCACTTCCATCTTGATGGAGGAGTTGAGTTCAGGGTAGGTACTGAGTGTGTGGACCACAATGTCCTTCTCTTTGCTGATGTCATTCAGCCTCTGGCCTACTGTCGCCCTCAGGAAGTAGCTGGAAACAAATGTAAAGATGAGCTCACATGCCATTATATGGCTATGAAAACAAGACTGTAACAGCTGGTTCCTACTGTCCTCCCTCTTATGGCTGCCTGAGTGTAGCTGATTTTAAACATGCAGAAGTTCAACCTATTCTGAAAGGTCCAGACTTAAACACTGTGGTGACCAGGCTTTTGTGGTGTTGGTTCCAAGACTGTGGAACAGCCTTCCACCAGGCATTCAGTGCTCCCAGTCTGGCTCTCTTTTACTCAATTCTTAAAACTTGTTTATTCAGGCAGGTGTTTAACACCGGCACAGATGAGGGCATCTGTATGCCCATGTACTATGTTACTGTGATTTTTATGTGGTGATTTGCCTTTTGGTTTTGTGTGTACTTTCTTTAGTGCTTCTTGTTTGTTGCTCCAGTCTTTTGTTGTCATCCTACTGTGAAACGCTTTGCAACCTAGGATTAGAATGGTGCTATATAAATAAAGGTTTTCTTGCTTGGTTGCTATAGCCAGAGTGTGCAACACACGAGGAATGAACAAAAAAAACTGCTCATATGGAACAGAAAGACAACCATAATATTCTGAGCTTCATACTACAAATGAGGTAAAAACTGCAAGAACTGTCAGAGGAATGGCCATGTTGTTATGAAAAAGATTTGTCCCCTGCACGTTATCTTTAGGCTTAAGGACAATGTCTGACAGTGAGGGGCTTCAATGAGGCTTGGCCTGAGTTTGGTGTTAGCTGTGTCATTATACATCAGCATTTTGGAAAATAAACTTATTTGCTTACTTGCAGAGAGTTTGAAGAGAATACTGATACCACTCTCACATTTGTCTATTAAATATGAAGCTAGAACCAGCAGCTAATTAGCATAGCTTAGCATAAAGACCAGAAGCAGGTGGAAAGTGTTAGCTTGACTCTGATCAAGGATAAGAAACTACAAACACCTCTAAAATTCACTAATGACGTCACATTTGTTTAACCCTTAAAACAAACAATACATAAAAATGACAACTTGTGTCTTTTATGGATTGTGGTCCTGCACATCTAAGTCAAATATAAGTGTGGCATTCCTCTTCTAATATAACGTATGTCTCAGCAAGAAATAAAATGAGGTCAAATTATTTCTCTAGCATGTTAATGTTAGCATTTCAGCATGTTACATACTGGCTTAACATTACTATCACAACATGTGTAGAGCTACCATGATGACAAGTACTGTCTTTACTGTTTGTATGCTGTCACGACCTGAAACGCCGGCTAAGCAGAAAATAAATGACTATACCTTCTAATTAAATAACAGAGGTTTATTCAAAACGTGAAACACTTACTGAAGATTCATGTGCTGCTGTTTCTTCACCTAATGACATATCATATATGGAGCATGCTGAGTTTGAACCAGTCGAGCTAGTGGCAACATGAATGTTGCTAATCAACTATTATGTACGGTGCAAAAAACTGTATGGGGTATATTAAAAAAATCCTACCAAATCTGAGCTGCAAATATTTCATGCACACAGCATAGCTCACCGTAACTTGACGTTTTGACCAGTGTAAGACTCGTAGGGTTTTTCCACATGTGTGAACTCAAAGTCAAATGTCTGTGACTGTGTGAGTTCCCCTGGCCGAGCCAAGTCTTTCACAAGGGACACAAACTCGTGGCGATTTCCTCTGTCATAGTACAGCTCTGGAAAGGACACATGAAAAACATCAGACCTTTACACTTTAATGCATTCCAATAAAGAGTTTGTGCAAGCTTTTCCTTTAATGCTGAGAGCTGCAAAGAGCCAAGATTTGATCTGAGACTGCAGGCTTTGTCTTGATTACTGCTGGAGTCCAGCATTTTAGCCCAAAACATCATTCAGATGATAATGTTATTTAGTGACTTGACCTCAGAGTATGTCCACTGAACACAGTAAATTACATATACTGTCAGATATTCTCCCACTCTTACTACATCTTCTTATATGGAGACAAATTATGGTAGGAAAGAGATGGGTGCTGCAGTGAAGAAAAAAATGAATTCATGATAAAAGTGTCTAGAAAGAATCAAGAGGAACTTCTTACCATTGGTGTAAAACATGAGTTTAACCTAACGACTGCATTTTAAAACATTACAACAGAACTGAAACGAGATAATTAAGATCCTTAAAGGATAAGTTCAGTCAGTCTCTACATGAATAGTCTTTTGAACAGTCCCCACACAGGGACTAAAACCAATAACAAACTGCCTCTACTCATGTCTGTCAGACTCTAAGCTGGATTAGCTTCTTCGTCTGTGTCATAGACCACCACTGCTGTTGAAAAATGATTTAAAAACACATCACGGTGAAACACACTGCTGTAGTTGGTGATACTGTAAAAACTTACAATTGTTTGGAGTTGTCATGGCAACATTTTAAAGTAATCTGCAGATCTGGTGTTTTGTAATGAAGAAACATGTCACAATCCTATTAATATAGAAAATGACCAAACCTATGCTTTAAAAAGATGTAAAAGAACTGTAGCTGGACTGAATAAGGAGTTATCAGTAAAGCATTGCAGGCCACGACACACATTGTTGTTTTCCTGTCACAGGTCTGAATACTTCTTCAGTCAGCTAATTATTTAGTCAAGACAGCATAAATGTAAAAATACACACACTGACTTTTCAAGTCTCAGCTATCGGATTGTGTTTTTGTAGTATATATGATGTACCTGTAACTTCAAGGAAGAAGGGGGTAACAAGCTCCACTTTATTTATATATAGTAGTAGTACTTACAAATAGGTATTGGAAAATACAGCACAGGTACATCATTATTACACTGTAAATTTGGAATACTTAGTCTCTAAGTTGAAACCTGTAAATTAAATCATTACCAAGCTATATCTTTTAGTTCAAGTAGGCCCCAAAGCCAGCGTTACACAGTGCAACCTTTGTGCAGTTTGTTGCAGAGTTCAAATGAAATGCTGTTTTTGTTTTATTTAGTTTTAATAGAACTCCTACATAGCTATCATGACACAGCACAGTTGTGATACTTGAACAATCAGGTGTATAGTTTTATGTTTATACTATCGTGGCTAAATAATAAGTTAACTAATTTCCACTCCACTGGTGGTGGAAGTATTCAGACCTGTGAATGCAGAATTACTCCACTATCAGTAAAGGTCCCGCAGTCGACTCATACATAAAGTATTATCATTAAATATATATCTGTTAGGCGGTAGGCTTGCTCATTGTGCGGCTCTGGTAGCCTGTCAGTGCTCCATTTGTATAACTTATCGGGGTTATTATTACTAACGAATAAACACACGAACAAGTAAAATAAGTGTTGCAGCTGGTCAAGGTAGACTAAATTTTAATAACTTGTCCGCGAAACTTGTTTTCTTGTGAAAACCACAAACAAAATGATACATCACCATTTCTAATGGCCAGACGGAGCTTGCTAACAGCATACCAGTAACTTTCTAAGTCTCTAACATATTACATTATGCGTAACTTCAGGTCCGGACCTGTGTCTGTAAACTACTTCTTAGTCTGCAAGTCGAGTTCGGACAGAACTGCTGACAGAAAAGTTGACCGAGACAGCCCGCCGGCGGTCACGTGTCTGCTGGTGTTAGGCTGCACCCACAACTGTCACGAGACTCGACGCTTCAAACGGACACTTGTTACGACAGGGCAACAACACTTTGGGTGGTCAGAGTGAAGACAAAGTGGTTGTTAGGCCACATTTCATAAACTACATAGTGTGAGTGTATAGTTGTGTTGTCAGAGCCTGTAGCTAGCTCCACAACACATACTTTGGCCACTTCTATCAGCGCGCTCACGGCGAAGCGCAGGCCTGCCAGCTGCTCACCTATCTGGCCGATAAATTCAACCTTAATGCCGCTGTGCTCCAGCCTCTTCCCAGGGTATTTGAGCGTAACGTTGACTTTCCCGGACACCGTTTCTCCATCGTAGAAGAGAAAATATTTGTCCTTCTTGCCGTCTTCGCTTTTATGCTCCGCTTTCTTTCTCGTTTCGGCGTCATTCAGAATTATATCGATATCAGCACTTTGACCAAAACCAAAGAAGCTCATGACTGCACGTCAGTGACCGTCGCTGAACCCCGGTGACACAGACCTCCTGTCGTACAAACAACACTCTATAGTCTGTTTTTTGTTTTGTATTGTTTTTTTTCCCCTGAGACCTCGTAGCAAACAGCGCTTCCCAAATGACTGAATACTTCGAGTTACAACCGGCTGACTGCGCATGCGCCGACAGTGATCAGGAAAAGATGCGTTCTTCTTCTTCAGCTGTTTATTGGCGGTTTGCCGGAAAAGACGCGTTTATGGGGAGAGTTTTTTTAAACTGTTGATATAAACTTTACTTTCAGTGCTAAAGTAAAACAACAGTATTTGGTGGAATGTAACCATTTTACATACTGGTATCTGCACTTTTTGGCGCAGTATCAACTGGCGAAAAAAAAAAATTCCGGCTGTTATGAGAGTTTGTAGTTTGTTGCCCGACGTTTCAGGTGTTTGTGGGCATGCTGCTAGTTCTCTGCAATGGTTCCTTTTTGGCTTGTGTTGCCTGAAAATGCAACAGCGCAATCCTTTATCTAGAAAAATAAATAAAACAAAGAAATTCAGAGAGATGTTTTAAAATGGTAATTTTTAATGATAATGATAATAACTCATAAGTGAAACACTGTTAAAACACAACACCTCCTTAGTATCATAGTAAGGTAAACAAGTTAGAACCTCATTTTTATCAAAAAGAGCCATCGTCCGCTGCAGGCAAATAGCATTGTTCTCTATGTGCAGCTGGCTGTGAGACTAGTGCTCAGGGACTGTCTACAAAGTGCAAGACTGAAAAGAGTTTCTACAAAAAAATATTGAGCAACTTCATTCTGATATATTCTAGTGTCACCAAAATCACACTGCACATAAATGGCCATCTGATGATTATACTACAACATTTACTTTGAAAAATATACTCTTGCATAATTGTGGCGAATTACAGTGTAATGTCACCAGAATCATTACACACATCAATTATTTTCTTATACTTTATGCCACCAAAGTAGCTGCATTCCACTTACATTACCAAGGTGGTGGACTTGTGTTTTTGATGGAAGAGAGTGCTGTGTAATATATACTAGGGAGACGCACAGTTAGTTATGGTGCCATATAGATGCATGGAGAGAGAGGAGAAGAGCTAAGAGCATCATGGGAGGGCCCCCGGCATCTAGGCCTATAGCAGCATAACTAAGAGAGGGCTCAGGGTCACCTGGGCCAGCCCTCACTATAAGCTTTATGAAAAAATAAAATCTTAAGTCTAGTCTTCAAGGTAGAGGGGGTGTACTACATGTATAAGAGTGGAGTTAGTGAATATTTTAGTAGGAGCCCTTTCAGTCTTGTACTTTGTAGACAGTCCCTGCAGGCTAGCCTCACAGCTGCACATAGGGACCAATGTTATTTGTCTTCATCAGAGGATGGCTTGTTTTGATAAAAATTAGGCTGTAGCTGGTCTACCTTACGATACTAAAGAGGTGTTGTGTTTTAACAACTTTGCACTTTTGACTTATTGATCTGGAAATTTCAAATCTGTTAATATATTTCCAACCTTCCTGAAGTTGGTCCTCCTACATTTCTCTTGCTAGGAACTGCTGCACTATAATCCCTCTGTGTTTGCTGATACATGGCATGACTGCTTGAGCTATTAAAACTAAATAGTGAAGTCTGCAACTCAAAGTGAAAACAGTATTCTAGATACAATGAAAAGGTTAAATCAACAGCCAACATTCACTGTGTGTGTACCAACAAAGGTGAGGCTATGACCAGCTGCAGCTCTGTGACAGTGTGTGTTTTGGCAGTTATTTGTGTTTTGTTTTGTTGCATACAGTACTACATTATTTTGTGGTCAAATGTATCATCGCTGACCTCTGTAAGCCTATTAAGACATTTTCCATGTAGGTCTTTGTTAAATCAATAAGTGATTCTTTAAAGAAATGGACCATTTATCACCTGCACTGACATTTTGTCCTCAACATCCTAAACCCCCTCCAGATATGTGGCACTATGCTTCTCTCCTTGTGACATATGCATCTACTATAGATGTAAACTTTCTGAGATAATGGTAGATCAGTGGATGATTATGTTCAGCATCAACATCTGCTTACAGAGAAAGCATACTGTAGACAGACTGCTGCATATGTGTCAGACAGAATGGGCCAGACAGAATGTCACACAGTTTAAAGTTGTGGTATATTACCTACATTTGTTGGCAGAACTAAGGATCATATGGTGTAAATATACACAGCCAGTATTAAGAAAATGACCCCAATGTGGAAATAAACAAGTTCTGTCATAGCTGTGATTAATTTCCGGATACCAGTTTGCTCAGTGTAAAATCTCATGACCAGTTACTGTGTATTAAATCAGTGTCCATCTGTAGTTTGTCATGCAGTTCTCACATTATGAATTTATAGTCATCTTGTAGGAAGACTTAACTGTCACTGAACAACATGTTTAGCATAAATCTGAAACATTAACAAAAGTGACCATATAAAGTTTTACAAGCTACTGAAAAACATTTAAGAAATGAAGTTGAATAAGTCAAAATATAAAGACATTATGGACATTTGTCTTGAAATTTTGACATACTCTAGAAGAATTGCTCTTAAGAACTTAGGCAAGGCGACAGTGGTGGAGCAGTTGTCTCCCAACCAGAAGGCTGAAGGTTCGAATCTCAGTGCCTCCAGTCCACCTGTTGAAGTGTCCTTGGGCAAGACACTGACCTGCACCCTGAGCAGGCGCCTCAGATGGCGGTTCTGTACTGGAAGCAAATTCCTTGTGTGTAACGTACTTGGCCAATAAAGGTGATTATCCTTAGTGCACCCAAATGCAGACATGACTGATATTTAGAAACTAACATGGTGAAAACTCTCATTGAAAAAAGACTCATTGTGAGCACTGATACACAGAGTCTGCAGAACCCCTGAGAGGACAGGTCAACTCAAAAGCTCTACCTGACAGAATATAACACAAAGACATCTAAACAAACTAACAACTAAACAGCACAGTCATGGAGCGATACAATGACTTGGAAAGATGTAACAAGAATAACAAATTCAAAGAAACAAAATAAAATCCAAAAGAGGAGAGGCTCACAATGAGGCAGGACCAACAGGAACAAAGCAGGTTGCGGTGCACAGACGAACCAGCAAACCAACTCAGTGAAGTGAGGAGAATATGAGGGCTGAGACATCCAGACAATGAGTAACTGGTCAAGGCAATGAGTGGTAAGCAATGGCATGACTCAAACTGAGGCAGGTGAGAAGATATGGAACAGGAAATGCTTTCAAAATAAAAGTAAAAACAGGAAGTAGTCCCAAACCATGACAAGCTACTTTAACAATTATATTTCCCGTGTAGATTTAAGTCTAAGACTTATTTTAATTATTTAGGAATCAGATCAGTGTGCCTTGAAAGCAAAGTTTGAATAAAGGCTGCTGTCCTATATTCTGTCCTAACTGAATGTGGAGATGATACCTTCATGTAATCCAATGTCTAGACATTTCACAGCTGTTGCCTTTCATGACGTGATGACCTCTTTGGGTGTCTGACGCCTTTTATGTTGTCTGCTGTCTGAAAAACATTTACCAGTTGTTTGCTCATATGACTGATTATTCTTTATAATGTCAGACAATGAATTTCTGTTTCTATCTTGATAAAAGGTGATGGATAGTGCTGTAAAATGAATTTATTGAATTCACTTTTAATTAAAATAGTGTCACTAAATCAAACCCCAAATCATCAAAATGGAATTACAGCAGAGAAAAAAGGGTCAGGATGATCTGTTAGTAACAGCTGAAGTTGTTGTTGCTATGTATGACAATGTGTCAAAATCTCTGCCAACATGATCACATTGCCAAGACCTTTCTGTTTTTATCTCAGCATGCTGACTGATAATGAAACAGTACAGACCAAAAACATTCAGGGTTCGTAAGGTTATATTAGAACGGTAATAGGTCGAGGATCACTAGTTACTCTGTTAAAAATATAAGTAATGTAACGTTTAATTCATTCATCAAAGTAATGCAACTTTGATTACTTTTCTAAAGAAAATGTATGAAACTGGGCAATAAAACTGAAAGGTTCTATGAAATTTAAACTAGGAGGTGTAAACCTCACCAAAGTGCTCCAGACTTTTTTAAAGGTTCTTCAACATAACTTCAGTTGCGTAATATATTACTGTTGAAACATGTAGCCTACTGAACAGGCATCAAGCAAAACCCTGGAGGACTTCAGGAGGAAACTACTGAACCTCCAGCACTGAAAGGCTGTCTGACAACGTGACCATGGCCCAGGCCTGGCACACTCAGCTTGCTTAGAGCAGTGTGCGTTGATTTGATTGATAGACCAGAGAACCAATCAAAAGCGGCGTTCAAACTTTAACTCGTGCTGCCACATGACTGGAGCCTATCTAGATGTATTATGGAGACGGCTCCTTGTTAGCCGTCCTACCCTCGACATTGCTATTTGTCCCAAAGGATTTGCTGACCTGTGTTATCCAGAAATATGCCAAAAGAACACATTCATGCACAATGAAAAGACTCAAAGAATGAACATTATTCTAAGCTTTTACCCAAAAGAATTTTCAGATGTAACATTTTGATTAGTAACTGTAATTTAATTATATATATTTTTTCTCAGTAACTGTAACCAAGTACACTCACATATATATTTTTTAAAATTTAATTACAGTAACTAGTTACTCAACAACATTGTAAACATCTGACAGCATGTTGTACCCATTTTAAGCACAATCGGTCAGGTGTGTGCAATAGTACAAGACCAGGTAAACTCATTTCGGTGTGTGGAACTGTCACAGGAACTACAAATACACCAAAATGATAACAATAACAATGATTTGATTCAAATTGCTATTTTACTTGCTTTCACCTAGTCTTTGCAGTGAGCGACTAAAGACAAAGTTTGGAAGTGTGGACACAGTTCTCTGATAGCAGTGCTGCGCCACTTGAGGGCAGAATGGACTCACAGCAGGAGTCGGATCAGTCCCAGTGTTAGTCCCTAGTTCACTGTCGGTTCAGAGCGTTTCTGCTTTTAAGCCCCTACTATTTCGTGCTATTAAGTATTTTAAATTTCCAGGTGAAAATATATCCAACAGGACAATGAAAAATAGGACAGCACCGCATGAATTTTTTTGAGGATCAGCGCCCAGTGATATAAACTGGGTTGAGTGCGTTTTCCATTTATCATTCAAAATATACTGTATCTGACACCCATCTGTTTCTTATTAGTCCAGATTT